GTAGAGAATGAGTTTACATCTGGTACTGAATGGTCTTTTAGGGTTGGGCGATATACCGGTAGACATGAGGATTAACCGATATAAATTTGTAGTAGAGATTTTGAACTATCGTCTCTATCGTGGTTACATGCTCACGTGAAAACGTATTATTTTGGACATGTTTTTAAGCATTGCGGTTTAAAAACAAGTGATTTTAAGCCATTGAAACGCAATCAGCAGCTACAGAGAACTCATTTCTCTATATGCGTGTGCTGTCTGAGAGAGTTTCTGAGTGCTGGCAGAGAGGTGCGCGCACGTGAAGACAGTGCTCACAGAACATGGGAGTATTAAACATGGGAGTTAATTTTGCGCTTCATTGGCTTTGAACGGTTAAATGCACACACTTGTATGTGTCAAAATGCCCGTCTTTGCAAGTATCCTGGTAAACACAGTAATTTAGGTCTTAAATGAAATCTAACTGCTGAGAAAGAAAACATGTGTAACAGTAGCTATATTGGATCCGGGCAGCTCTTAAAATGACAGCTGTCTAATATTCCTGCTGTCCATCATTCATGTTAATCAAACAGCAAAAGAGAGAAACTCTCTCACTGCTCTTGACTAAATCACTTTTGTAACTTAAATAAGAAGACGACTATATTTAACTTCCACAGTGAAGAATATGCAATGTTTTTATACATTAATTTTGATTACTTTGTACAATGTATGTAGCATTTCTTATTTGATGACAAGAATTGTGAAATGTCTATGGTATCAAAAATTATGATATCATAAAGACCTTATTTAAAGCAGCGTTTTTGCACGAAGGCACCTCATGAAACTGATTTCGGACAGGCTTCTGAGGCAGCTTAACGGTTTAACGATCCACAACATAATAGAACGAGTTTTAGTTTTAACTAAACAAATATTTAATTACTATAATCACTGCTCTTGACTAAATCACTTTTGTAACTTTAATAAGAAGACAACTATATTTAACTTACACAGGGAAGAATATGCAGTGTTTTTATACATTAATTTTGATTACTTTGTACAATGTATGTAGCATTTCTTATTTGATGACAAGAATGATGAAACTTCTATGGTATCAAAAATTGTGATATCATAAAGACCTTATTTAAAGGAAAAATAACTATCATGATATATATCGTTACCGTGAAATAATATTACTCATATTGTGATATAAGATTTGGGGCCAGTTTTACTAAGCAGGGCAAATTAGCATGAGAGTGAAATTCCAAAACAGCGCTGATGGGTGTGGAAATTTCTGCGGGTGATTTACTAACAACTGCACAAATTAAGGAACACATATGCAACACCTCATTTACATATTGACCAACGCAATATACCAAACGCAGTGCAAATTAGAGTAGTCGCAAATATAGAATAAAGAAATAAAGAAGCCACAGTACGTTGAAAAGAACCGGAGGCCAAAAAATTAAGGGTATTTTAGCTCAACCGTCACGGAATGGAATGCACAGGATTGTCGGATATCAAAGGCAGCTAAGGATACATCTATGCTGCCTTCAAAATTCGATCAGATGAAGGTATCTCAGGAAACAGGAATTGAAGCTAAAGTCGGGCTCACACTGCGATTTTTTTAAAAGTCTTTTAGGATTGTACTTGTCAGACTGTACGAACATGATGATCATGTCAGGACTCCTAGTTGTGGGTTCCAAGTCGTCTATTATTTCCTGAAGAAACCACCACACCACTTCCTTAAACATTAGTTTGTCGCTGCATACACGCAAAGGAACAAAAGGTTTTTGCTTTTTGTTTGTTTGCAAGTTTAAAATAAAACTACTAATTTAATTGCTGCTCCTCTAATACTGACTAATTAAAAAAAAAAATCAATATTACTGAAGGAAAATTTTCTTTTATTATTTTGTCACTAAAGAGCATTTTTACACTTTTGCTATTGCCATAAAAATGTTCAAGGCCCCACTAGCTGCCTTGTATTTATTTATTTATTTGGTTTTCCCCAAAACAATTTTTTTTTTTTTTTCTGTGCTCTTTTTCTGTTAACCCATTTTTGTTCTTAAGTGTTTTATTTTGTTTAGTTTTTTTTAAGTATTTAAGTAATTTTTGAAGTATTTCATTATTATTTGCTATTGCCAAACGAACCGAACTCTGACGTCAATCGAACCCGGGCGCGCACCAAAAGTGCTAGTGTGAAAGCACCCTGTATTTAAGTAATTTTTGAAGTTTTTCATTATTATTTGCTATTGTTGCTTTGTTCTTAATTCTGTATTATTATTTGTATAATGTTCTTAGCTCTGATTTGTATTCTGTTATGAATATGTAATAAAACTTCAAATATCAAACCATAATAATTACAAATATATTTAAAAACAAATAAAGATAATTATTAGGGGTGCAACAGTTCTCGGTAAAAAATCGAACCGTACGGTTCTCCACACACGGTTCCAATATTACTGAAGGAAAATTTACTTTTATTATTTTGTCACTAAAGAGCATTTTTACACTTTTGCTATTGCCATAAAAATGTTCAAGGCCCCACTAGCTGCCTTGTATTTATTTATTTATTTGGTTTTCCCCAAAACAATTTTTTTTTTTTTTTCTGTGCTCTTTTTCTGTTAACCCATTTTTGTTCTTAAGTGTTTTATTTTGTTTAGTTTTTTTTAAGTATTTAAGTAATTTTTGAAGTATTTCATTATTATTTGCTATTATTGTTGCTTTGATTTGTATTATGTAACTTTATTATGTATTGTTCTGATTTGTATTCTGTTATGATTATGTAAAAAAAAAAATTTAAAATATTAAACCATAATAATTACAAATATATTTAAAAACAAATAAAAATAAATATATTTTACCTGATTTCAGCATCCCCATAACCTACACAGAACATTTTTCCTGTTTTGGACTAGACCAAATTAACAACAACAGTAATAGTAATAATAATAATAATAATAAAGACTTTAAAAAACGTTTTACACTAGTTTTAGTCATGCTTGAGAATGTGATCAAAATAACTCAATCCGCATTTGACAGCATGTGACAGCCACAATTTCATCCATATTGCTATAAAATATAGCATTATGTGTAGAATTCAAATGGGTTCGATACATTTTGTGATTCAGGGCCGTGCAGAGACCTTTGGAGGGGCAGGTGCTCAAAGTATAAAAGGGGCACATGGAGCACGGCTTTTAGGGCTGTGCTCCTTGCTGAGACATGTATAGAAACGGATGCTTCTGTATTGATAGCAGCAAATGCCGTGATGCAGTTTTGAACCTTCCTTTGGATACTCTTTTGTCTTGCCCTCTATATACCTGTTTACCATTGTCTGACCCATGCCTGTTTTATGACCACGTCTCTGTCTTC